TGTAGCTGATGAATATCCCCAGACAAGTGTATATTGTTCCACATGTATGATGTTTTGATGTCACCCCACAGCTCTTCAGTTCTGTCACCAGTGTCTAATGTATCAAATCTGTTCTTGAGATTGTCTTTAAATTCAGTTTCAAGGTCCTAATTTGGCTCTTGTGGACTTGTTTTAATTTTCTTCTGCTTCAGCCTGAACTTGTATATGAGCTGTTGATGGTCTCCACATTCTGCTCCTGCCTTGTTTTGACTGATGATGTGGAGCTTTTCCACAGTCATTTCCCACAAACGTAATCCATTTGATTCTTGTGTATTCCATATATTGAGATCCATGTGTATAGTCTTTTATATTGTTTAAAACAGTATTTGCAATGAACAAGTCTTGCAAAATTCTATCATGTTACTTCCAGCATCATTTTTATCATAAATATTTTCTCAGTACTGATCCTTCCTCTTTGTATTTGCACTCCTTCCTCTTTGCATTTCAGTCACCAGTAATTATCAGCACATTTTGATTACATGTTTGATCAATTACAGAATGAAGAAGTTGGTAGAATTCTTCAGTTTCATCATCACTGACTTTAGTGGTTGGTGAGTAACTTTGAATGATAGTGATCTTAACTGGTCTTCCTTATAGGTGTATGGATATTATCCTAACACAGACAGAATTATATTTCAAGATAAATCTTGAAATATTCTTTTTGATGATGAATATGATGCCATTCTTTTTCAGTATGTCATTACTGGCATAGTAATCCATATGACTGTGAGATTCAAATGGTCAATACGAGTCCATTTCAGGTCACTATTGCCTAAAATATCAATGTTTATGCATTTCATTTTAGCTTAGAAAACTTTCAGTTTTCTTAGATTCATACTTCATATAGTCCATGTTCTGATTATTAATGGATGTTCATAATTGTTTTTTGAAATTCTGAGTTGTGCCCCATTAGCTAATAAAGGTCTTGAAAGCTCTTTTCTGTTTGTGTCATCACAGTCAACTCTACTTTTAGAAGGCATCTCTTCCCCAAGCATATTTTGAATGTGTTCCAACCTGATTAGTTCATCTTTAGCACTACATCAGACAATGTTCTGGTGTTATTCATAATGTTTCAAAGTTCAATATTCTGATGCTATCTGACAGCAATTCATAAGGTTTTCAGTGGCTGAACATTTATCAGGAGAGGTTACAGCCTTTTAAGGAAATCCTATGAAGCAATTTTTCTCTGTCCTAGAGGGTCACTGTGAGTCAGAATTAGCTTGACAGGAGTGAGAGTTTTGGGGTTGGTAACTTTCTGCTCCCATAAAGATTTACAGCCTCGGAAACCCTATACAGGGTCGCTATGGGTCAGAACCGACTCGACGGCATTTAACAACAACAGCTTTGACAAGAGCAGTTTCAATGGGGTGATGGACCCAAAAAGAATCAAAGGCAGAGACAGTGTGTGCAGGCAGCTCTTTAAAAAAAAATAATTAGCTGTTTTTATGTTTTAAATACAGTGGACAGAGGTAAATACTGTTTACTGGTGACACATGGAGTGAATTGCAATAATTGTATTGACACAATGTTTATAATTTGTTGAATGTGGGACTAATCTGTTCTGTAAACCTGTCAATTCACAATAAAAAGTTTAAAAAATAATAATAAAAAGGTTTGGTTGTAAAGAAACCAAGAGATGCGTGAGTGTGGGAGGAACAGATGTAGACTCAAGGGCATGGTATGTTTTCAGATGGGAGACACTGGAGCACCTTTGTATGTAGATGTAAAGGGTCCTAAGGAGGGATAGATAGTTGATGTTGGAGAGGGAATCACTGAAGGAACAAGAATGCTTGAGAAGTTGAAATAAGGGATCTGGAGTCCACATTCAGTGATGGCCTTTGAAAGGAGCAAGGACATCTTGATAGTGAAAATAAGAAGGAAGGAGGGAACAATGAATAAAAGATGGGCAGGTTTGCTGATTTCTTCATGAGGAAATGAGGGCATTTTCTAAATTTTCTCCTTGATCCTTTATCTTCTCTTTCATTATGGTCTCTTCCCTCTTTTCCTTGTCTATAAATATTTATGTACATTCTGATTTCCACAGCCAGTATCTCTCATCCAAAGATCTCTCCCAATCTTCTGACCACCATAGCCACCTGCCCATAGCCATTTCCACTTGGACATGCTCTAAGCACCTAGAGACCAGTGATATCTAGCCCATCCTAACGTTCACCTACTTCCTCTATTTTGGAAAATGGAATCAATATCCTAGGATGGCATCCCAGATATCTTCCTTTTCTCATATATTTAATCCATTCACCAATTTTGTGATTTGAACTCTTAAATTGCATTCATGTCTGCTCCAATGTCTCAACTCTCACTACCTCTATGCTACTCATCCTTTGGGCTGGTCTACTATTGTAGACTTCTTTCTAGCCTCTCTACCTCTCATTTGGCCTCTTTTTCAGACTTCCCTATAGTCATCTGTAATTGAAAATGAAAATTTAATCACAATATTCCCTCTCCACTATTTTCAAGACTTGTCATCCTATATACCACATACAATCTTAATGCCTCTCTGAGGCAAGTATAAATAAGTATTGAGTAAATGAATAAAACATTTTGCTCTGTGGAGTCAGTTCCCTTTTAGAACTAATTTTCACCTTATACTTAACATTTTGTAGATTTCCTGTTTTGGTATTTTCTCTACATTTCCGAAAATTGAATCCATTAAACCCTTACTTCTTTTTTTTTATGTTTAAACAGATATAACTATTACATTGCAGAGGAAGAAGAGAGGGAGCCCTGCTGTAACCCTTCTTATTAGAACACCTATAGAATTATCTGTGGATATAATCCTGGCTTTGGAATCAAAAGGCAGCTGGCCTGCTAGCACCCAGGAAGGTCTGCCCATCAATAACTGGCTTGGAGCAAAAGTTAGGACTGAACTGAGACGTCAGCCATATTGCCTTGTACCCAAACATGCAAAGGAAGGAACTAATTTTCAAGGTATTTTGAATATGACGGTTAATTTAAAGATTTCTATAAAAACAGGCTTTGATGGAGAATTAACTGTTAAAATGTTATTACTAAGGCAGTGTAAGATGAGCAGTCAACTAATACTGATGGCATTTCAGAGGTTAGCAGGCTAAATAAACTAGCTGTAAGATGGGAGTTTGATGAGGAGACAGAATTGAAAAAAGATTGATTATTGTGATAATATCAAATACTCAGCTTTAAAATGTCTCTCTCTCTCGCTCTTTATTTATTTATTTTTTAATCAAAAAAGACAGCACTGACCTTGGAGTCATACTGTCCTGGATCTGAATCCTGAAGTGTCTTCTCTTACTTGCTGTGTAATTTTGGACTAGTTACTGAGCCTCTCAACCTATTTGCTCTTCTGTGCAGTGGGTTAAGGAGCCCTGATGGTACAGTGGCTAAACACTCTGCTAATTGAAAGGTTGAGGGTTTGAACCCACCCAGAGGCTCATCTGACAAGACTATGTTTAACTTTGTAAGAAAGAGATATGTGCTTTGCAGATATTTTATTCCAGTCTGTGACATTATTCTCTTAACAATGTTGTTTGCTTAGCAGTTTATAGATCTGACGAAGTCTAACTTACAAATGTTTTTCTTCCATGGATCATACTTTTGTTGTTATATTTTCAGTGTGCTTTGGTTTGCATCTAATTATGAATGATACTGAGTGTTTTTCATATGCTCAAAAGCCATTCATGTTTCTTTTCTATAAATACAATATTCATATCTATTGCTTATTTTCATAAAGCTGTTCTTTTTAGAAGCTGTTTATATACTAAATACATATTAACTTTTAAAAAACTTTTTATTGTGAATTTGGTGAAGGTTTCCAGAGAAAATCAGTTTTCCATTCAACAATTCAAACACATTTTGTTTCATGACATTGATAGCAATCTTCACAGCTACCTTCCTCTTATTGTATATTGTCTATCCTTTTACTCAAGTTAACATGTGTCTGCCTTCTACTTAGCAATTTACCTTCGCTTTCCTTCCACCCATGGTAACCATCAAGGAATGTTTCTTTTCTTGTGAGAACCTTTCCTTTTACTTTTTATAATAGTGGTCTCATATAATATATTTGTCCTTTTGTGATTGACTTATTTCATTCAGCACAATATCCTCCAAGTTCATTGATGTTATCAAGTGTTTCACAGATCCACTGTTATTCTTTTGCTGTTGGTATTTGTTGAGTTATTTTAGTCTGTAGAAGTCTGTTGGGTCACCTCTTTTTGGAATGGGCACAAATATGGATCTCTTCCAATCAGTTGGCCAGATAGTTGTCTTCCAGATTTCTTGGGAGAGATGAGTTGAGTGCCTCCTGTGCCGCCTCACTTTCTTGAAAGATTTCAATTTGTATCCCATCAATTCCTGGTGCCTTGTTTTGCCAATTCCTTCAATGCACCTTGAACTTCCTCCCTAAGTATCATTGGCTCTTGGTCATATGCTACCTCTTGAAACGGTTGAACATCAACCATTTCCTTTGGCACAGTGACTTTGTGTATTCCTTCCATCTTCTCTTGATGCTTTCTGCATCATTCAATAATTTTCCCAGAGAATCTTTCAATAATGAAAGTTGAATCTTGAATTTTTTCTTCAGTTCCCTCAGCTTGAGAAATGCTGAGCGTGTTCTTCCTTTTTGGTTTTCTGATTCCAGATCTTTGCACATTTTGTTGTAATATTTGGCTTTATCTTCTCGAGCTGATCTTTGAAATTTTCTGTTCAGCTCTTGGACCTCCTCATTTCTTCCATTTGCTTAAGCAACTCTACGCTGCAGACCGAGTTTCAGAGTCTCTTCTGACATCCATTTTGACTTTTTCTTTCTTTCTTGTCTTCTCAATGACTTTTTGCTTTCTTCATGTATGATGTTCTTGATGTCATCCCACAACTCTTCTGGTCTTTGGTCTTTAGTGTCTAATGTATCGAATCTGTTCTTCAGATGATCTGTAAATTCAGGTGGGATATATTCAAGGTCGCATTTTGGCTCTCGTGGACTTGTTTTCATTTTCTTCAGCTTCAGTTTGAATTTGAATATGAATAATTCATGGTCTGTTCCATAGTCTGCCCCTGGTCTTGTTTTGACTGATGATATGGAGCTTTTCCATCTTCTCCTTCCACAGATGTAGTCAATTTGATTTCTGTGTTTTCCATCTGGTGAGGTCCATGTGCATAGTCATCTGTTATGCTGTCTAAAGAAAGTATTTGAAATGAACAAATCAGTGCTTTTTCAGAATTCTATCATGCGTTCTCCAACATCATGTCTATCACCAAGGCCATGTTGTTTTCCAACTACTGATCCTTCCTCTTTGCTCCCAACCTTTGCATTCCAATCACTAGTAATGATCCATACATCTTGATTGCATGTTTGATCAATTTCAGATTGAAGACGTTGGTAGAATTCTTCTATTTCTTCCTCACTGGATTTAGTGGTTGTTGCATAAATTTGAATAATAATGGTATTAACTGGGCTTCCTTCCCTGTAGGCGCAGGGATGTTATCATATCACATACAGCATTGTACCTCTTGACTAATGTGGATATTTTCTTTTTGACGATGAATGCAACACCATTCCTCTTCAATTTGTCATTCCCAGCATAGTAAACCATGTGGTTGTCAGATTCAAAATGGCTAATACCAGTCCATTTCAGCTCACTAATGCCTAAGATATCAATGTTTATGCATTCCATTTCAATTTTGACAACTTCCAATTTTCCCAGATTCATATTCGTACTTTCCATGTTCCGATTTTCAATGAATGTTTACAGCTGTTTCTCTTCATTTTGAGTTGTGCCCCATCAGCAAATGAAGGCCCTGTGGGCTTTTCTCCCACTAGCTTTACTCCATTCGCATAATCACTGTCAACTCTACTTTGAGGAGGCAGCTCTTCCCCCCTTAGGGAGTTATGCATGGGCTAATAGGATAGAGGTAGATTGTGATATATGCACAGCCTTGGAATAACAGGACTCAGTGATATAGGGATCGAGACATAGGCTGAATGGGTAAAGGAGGGGAAATATGTTAAGGTGCTTGACTGTTTTGTGGATATTAGTTTCCCCTACCTACTATTGTAATATAGACATTTAAGTAGGATGGAAAGGAGTATTGGGAAATAAGATTACAGAAAGCTTGTAAGCCCATCTTCAGTGTATAACTGATTGGATTATCTATAAGGGTAGTAGAATGTGCCCAGAGAAATAGGCTTCTTGTTAAGCCTTTGTGGAATATGAGGCATTAGATGGAATTTTGAGCCCCACACAGAACCTTTGGAGGTGGGACATTTCCACTTGAAAAAACATGCAGACCAACCAGAATGGCTAGAGGTACAGAAGATGCTTCTTGAAAGAAAGACCAGTCTCGGGTAGAGGGGGAGCAGACTGTTTGGCTGTGACAATATTAAGCAAGGTGTTTGCCTTGGAACCATCAAAGCAAAGAAAAGCAGCCCATCAGGCTAAACCTATTTCTAAAAATGAAACTTGGAGGGAACACATGAGCAGTCTTGTATGCTCACTGGTGACCACCCTGATCAACTTGTGAGTGGAAGTGGAGGAAATGAAGCAATGAAGACATAGGCTGAATGTGGCCATGTTCCATAGACACCTGATGACCTTAGGTTGAGACGATGAAGAGGAAGAACTGGCTGGTATGAAGTTCGGGGAGCCATGTGAATTCCTGAGCCCATGAACACTGACCTAACCTACAGTTAAGAGTGAAGTAGCTAGCTGATCTGAAGTGGAGGGAGGCATGCGAATACTCCCAAACTTGCAGATAGTGTTCATTTGACCTAATTTGAATGGCTTGATGACCAGAACTTGATCAGATGAAGATAAAGAAGTTTGATACAGGGACCAAGTGTAAATTGCTACAACTTAATGAACTTGGCCCTTGCTTATGGATGTAGTTGCCTAGAATTGCAACCGAAAGGAAAAGATCTTTCATATCAAGAATCAAGCTTGCCTCCTCAGTACACTGGGTTGATTGGGATGGGCAACTTAAGTTTTGGCTATCAAAAATTGGGGGACTATTCCACTTGAAAAGACAAGCAGACCAGCCTGGAACAGCTAGAGGAACAGAAGATACTTCTTGAAAGACCAACAGAAAAATCAAAAACAATAACAGCAGTCTGATTGACTACTACAAAAACAAACAAGTTGTTTGCAGGGGAGCCATCAAGGCAAGCAATCAAGTCCCCTCAGGGTAAACCCCCTTCTAAGACTGAAACTCAAAGGGAATACAGAGCAGGCATGTAATCTTGCTGGTGACCACGTTGGTCGACTAATAAGGGGAAGTGGGGGAAAAAAAGCAATGAAGCTGTGGGCTAAATCTGACCACATTCAATAGGCTCTTACCAACCTGGATTGAGATCTTGTTGGTCAGCAGTATATTGAGACCTGGGGACTCCTGAGCCCATGGACAGGGACATAGCCTTAGAAGACTAGAGCAGAGGGTGAAGCGTCTAGCAGATAGGAAGTGAGGGGAGATGCACAAGAACGCCCATATTTACAGATAGTACCCATTTGACCTAGCTTCAATGGCTGGATGGTCAGAACTCAACTAGAGGAAGAAAGAGGAGGGAAAAAAGTGTAATTTGCTGCAATTTGATGAATTTGACCTATACGTATGGATGTAGTATCTTAAAAGAGGGAACAAATTTTTACGGCAAGGATTATTCCTACCCCCTCTGTACACAGGGTTGACAGGGATGGGCAACTTAGACACTGGCTACCTAAAATGGGTGGACTACAAAGGCATGAAGTGAATGGCTTACAAGTTTTCAAAAGGGAGATTAGTTTCAGAAGGTGTGAGGGAAGGTAGAATATCTCCTCTGAGTGGTTTGCAACCTGTCTAGATGGGGCTGGTGAAAGGAGATGGGGATAAGACTCTTGTGGTTCAATAGTGAATAATTGGTATCAGGACTGATGGTGATTGTTGCAAATGTAAAGGTAGATGTTTTGTAACAAAAGGAGGGATGTGGTTGATATTACAGTCCCAGAGAGGAGGACTCTGGGGCCATCAAGGGAGAGGAGTGGAGTTCGAGACCTTATCCAGAGAAGCAGTGACACCAGACATGGAGGCAGAGACAATGACATAGAGAGATGGACCGGCTGGGGACTCTAGACTCAAGGAGGGAGAGGGACTGTGTGCTGGGGCTGGGGGGCAGGCTTGCAGGGTATGACCTTTGGTTGTTTGAATGGTTATATATTCCCATCCAAAAAAACAAAACAAACAACAAACCATAGGGAATGGAAGCAAATGCTGTTGAATGATGAATTGGGGATTGTAATCATTGCAATGAAACGAAATATGACAGGAGAATGTAAAGCTGATGTTCTTCCATGTAAACTATCACTCAATTTACAATAAAAATTAAAAACAAAAACGGGGGGCTATAAGGGCACAAAGTGGCTGGCTTACAAGCTTTCATGAGGGTGCTTAGTGTCAGAATGAGGAGGGTAAGATAGAATTCTCACTGAATAGTTTTCCTCTTGTCTAGATGGGTCTAGTGAAAGGGGGCTGGTGATGATAGGGATAGGATTTTATGATTCAACTATGAGTAATTGTTATCAGGACTACTGTAAATGTAGAAGAGGTATAACTAAAAGAGGGGAGCAGTTAATCTGTCATTTCAGGAGCAGAGAACCCTAGGACCACCAAGAGGGAGGAGCATGAGTGGAGTGTGGGATCTTAACCAGAAAAGTGGCAACAACAGAGTTGGCATAGAGAGATAGAGCAGCTGAGCAGTGTTCCTGCACGCTGGAGGCTGCCTTGCAAAATGTGCCCTTTGGACATTTAAACAAATATTTATTTTCAGTGTGGCATGTGTACATTAAAAAAAAAAGAAAAAGTTATAGAGGTAAATACTGTTAACTGATGGTACATGGAAGGGATTATAATCATTGCAATGATTTGTTGAATGTAAAATTGATGATCTGCCCTGTAAACCTTCACTCAATTCACAATAAATTTTAAAAAAAGAAAAGAAAGAAAGCAATTGATACAGTACACTGGGCAAATCTGCTGTAAAAGATGTCTTTAAAGGGCTAAAGAGCAAATGTCACTTTGAGAACTAAAGTGGGCCTTACTCAAGCCTTGGTATTTTCAGTTGTCTCATTTGCTTGTGGAAGTTGGACAGTGATTTAAAAAAAAGATCATAGAAGAATCATTACATTTGCATTAAGTGTTAGTGAAGAATGTTGAAACCATTATATAATGCCAGATGACCATAAATCTGTCTTGGAAGAAGTACAACCAGAATGCTCCTTAGAAGCAAGGTTGGCAAGACTTCTCTCTCATTCTTTAGACATGTTGTCAGGAAAGACGAGGACGTAGAAACAGTCAGCATGCCTAGTAAAGTGGAGATCTGCGAAAAAGAGGGAGACCGCCAAGGAGATTTCTGGACATAGAGGCAGCAACAATGGGCTCAAACATAACAATTGTGAGGATGGGCTCGGATCAGGCAGTGTTTTTTTCTGTGGTGTGTAGTGTCAATTACTCACCTTTCTGGAGGAGAAAGATGAGACTGTCTTCTCCCATGAAGATTGACAGTCTCAGCAACCTACTGTACCCTATAGAGTTGACTAAAAGGCAGTGGGTTAAAGACAACAGTCAGTGTTTACATTTCTACTTGTCTTAGCTGTGTCATACTTATATTTCTTCAGTTTGTGTGAAACAGGCTCCCAATAAGGTTCATATTGTGACTGGTTAAAATGTATATTAAATCACTTTTAATATAAAATTCTCTAACTCCCTCCATTTCTCCCTGTGTCTCTATCTGCCCTTCTCTCTCTCTCTCTCTCTGTCTCTTTTTCCTATTTGCAATCTGTTTATTGAAGTAATAGGTCACTTGCTTGGAGAGTTTGTTACGGAGAGAATTTTACAGACTTCATCCCAATGGTGTTATTTAACATGTTTCTCTTCTGTATTTCTTTGGTAGTTGAAACTAGTAGGTAATTGGTATTTTTGGTGCTATTGTAAATGGTATCATCTTTAAATTTTTATTTTTCATTTATTGCCTACATACCAAGATACATTTGAGGTTTTATCCATATTTTTTTAATGTTTTAGTGTGTGTGTATGATAGTTTACATGGGAGAACATTAGTTTTACATTTATTCTATCGTATATCGTTTCATTGCCATGGTTCCAATCCCCTCCATGCATTATCAACCTACCAAAGGGTATACACTGCAAGTCTGCCCTCTACACTACCCTCCCCCATCCACATTTTTTGGTAATACTGAATCAGTTCTATTTGTTTATACTTCCTTTTGTGTTTTCTACTATAATTATTATGGTGCAGTGTGCTTAAGTGCACAGCTGCTAATCAAAGGGTGGTTTGAACAGTCTACTTCCCTAAAGATTTACAGTCTTAGAAATCCTATGGAACAGTTCTACTGTGGCCTAGAAGGTTACCATGAGTCGTAATTTAACTTAACTGCAACGTGGTTTTTTTTTTTTTTTTTTTTTTTTACCAATAATGATAACTTTGATCTTCCTTTCCAATCCTATGCCCATTTTTTTAGTTTCCTTACTGTGCTTACTATATTTGTTAAGATATGATGAACCAAAAAAGGGTAGCTAACATTTTTACCTTCCTTTTTATTTTAAAGGAAAAAGGTCAACCTTTTTACCATATATTATGATGTTACTGTAGTTTGGTTTTAAAAATCTAATTTGTTTCAGATCAAGTTTCCACATAGTCTTAAATTGCTGAGAGGAGTTTCTTTAAAATGAAGAGTAAATATTGAATTTTATTAAATGTGTTTTCTGCACCTGTTGAGATGATCATATGATGTTTCTTCTTATCCTATTAATGTGGCAAATTATATTGATTAATTTTCTAATTATAAATCGATCATACATTCCTGGTGGGAAACCATCTAGTTAGTAGGATAATCAAAGCTCAAAAGAGGTAGCCACAGTACAACTTGCAGGGAAGGAGGAAAACATTCTATTCTTATACAAATCCTTCCCCCAAAATAAAAAAGAATATTCCTCAATCCATTTTATATTAATACTAAAACATATAAGGATGCTACAGAAACAAAATATTAAGAAACTGAACGTAGCAGTATATGAAAGGTAATCCATTTTACCATGGTTGCCTTAAGCTGTTATCCACCCCACCCCCCAACCGTTTTTCTCATCCAAGCACTTATTTTAATATGTAATTACATTATTTATGTTTACTTCTTTCCCTCTATCTTTCCCAGAATTTTTTCAGTGGTATTTTGATGAAGAGAATAACCTAAATACTGTTTAATTTAGATAAGGGTAATTTTATTAATGCACTTTTCTGTTTATCTTTTCAAAATTAAGAAGAAACATGGCGGCTGTCCTTTTCTCATATTGAAAAGGACATTTTGAAAAATCATGGACAATCTAAAACATGCTGTGAAAATGATGGAGTGAAATGTTGCAGGTAGTGTTCTTATTTTGTTAAATGGCACATTATCTGTGGAATGCTTAATTAGGTTTTGTTTTGTTTTTTTGTATTACAGTATTTAATAGTAGTGGTAATTGGGAATATCTTAGTTCGTTTTTGACTGATTAGTTCAAACCTGATGATCTATGCTGGGTTGGGTCCTGGGGCAGGGCTGGGTTATTAAGTACTATCAAGTCAGTTACAACTCATAGTGACCCTGTGTAAGGTTTCCAGGGAGCAGCTGGTGAGTTTGAACTGCCAGCCTTGCTGTCCAGTGCATTTTCCCACAGCACCACACCAGGACTCCATTCCAGAGCATGGTGAAATTTAACTAAAGAAATCTTAGCCAAGGGACTATGGAAAGGGTACTGTTGGATGGAAGGCAAGGCCTGGATCACATTGAATGTATAAGGGTAGAACTCAGGGAAAAGCTGTGAACACCAGTCATAACAATGTGATGTGTCAGTCAGTAGTCTGGTTGCTTAAAGGTAATACTTACTATTATTATGTAATGAGAGGAGACCAAAAGGTCACTTTTACTAGATTCTTTCTATGGGATGGTTTGACTGCATGAAAGAACAGGGACTGACTGACTGGCCAATCTTGAAACAGTACTAAGAGATGAGTAATTGTTTTTCTTGGTAGCATACACATCAGAAACAACTGAGATGAAAAAGAAATTGCTCGTTTGAGTTTCTAACATCCACCAATATAAAGATCACAAAAGTTAAAAGGTCAAAACATGAATGCCTAATGTGTTGACAGAGAAAGTTCTTTAAGGTTTATGTGCCAGTGTTGAAGAAAATTGTATACTTAATAAGTCAGAATGATTTTTATAAGCATTAACTTTTGTCAACTATTAAATAACTGGATGGATAATGTAAATAAAGCAGTCTGCCCTTTGTATCTGTGGCTTCTATGGCTTCCAATTCAACCAACCTAGATCGAAAACATTTGGGGTATAGAGGGAGAGAAGGGGAGGAGCAATTAAGTGGTCAAAGTAATACCTCAAAAGCAAAGAGGAAGTGGACAGTGTTATTTACAAAGTTTTCATATTGTATTAATTATTATAAGTAATCTGTTGTTGCTTAGTGCTGTTAAGTTAATTCTGACTCATAGGTTTCCAAGGAGCACCTTGGTGGGTTTGAACCGCCGACCTTGTGGTTCACAGTCCAATGCTTATCCTACAGTGCCACACCAGAAGTCCATAAGTAATCTAGAGATGACTTAAAGTATATGTGAAGGTGGACATTTGTTGTTGTTAAGTGCCATTGAGTCAGTTCCAACTCAGCGAACTTTATAGGGTTTTACAGGAACGGCTGGTGAGTTTGAACCTCTAACCTTTCAGTTATGAAAATATGACACAATTTTATATAAGGAACTTGAGCATCTGTAGATTTTGGTATGGAGGGAAGTGTTCTGGAACCAATCCCTGAATAAGAAGGACCAACTATATTTGCAATCAAAAAAATCAAAATAATTTTATAGAAATTAAATCCAGGTTTTTCTAACTACGGCATAGCTAAATGTTGTTGTTGTTAAGTGCTGTTAGTCAATTCTGACTCATAGCGACCCTGTATAGGGCTTCAGAGGAGAGGCTGGTGACTTTGAACCACTACCTGGCAGTTACCAGTCCAATGCTTATCCTACAGCACTACACCAAAACTCCAAATAGCTGAATGGATAATGTAAATGTCAGTTTTATGTACTTGAATTAATTCTGATAGATGTTGCAAATGGAAAGAAGGTAAAAAAAGATATATATTTTGTTTTTTAAATTTCAAAGAAATTTTTTTTTTAATCATGTTTAGGGTAACTTTAAGGAGCTCTTGTACGTAGTAGTTACAAATCAGGCTGCAAACCTTATAGTCAGTAGTTTGAAACTACCAGCTGTTCCATGGAAGAAAGATGAGGCATTCTGCTCCCGTAAAGATTTACAGCCTTGGAAACCCTGTCACTATGAGTTGGAATCGACTACACGACACATAACAACAACAGGGTAACTTTGTTGTTGTTAAGTGCCGTCGAGTCGGTTCCGACCCATAGCGACCCTGTACAGGGTTTCTGAGGGTGTAAATCCTTATGAGAGTAGAAAGCCTCATCTTTCTCCCGCGGAGCGGCTGGTAGTTTCGAACCACTGATCTTAAGGTTTGCAGCCCGATTCGTAACCACTGCGCTACCAGAGCTCCATAGGGTAACTTTAGTTATACTATTTAAATACCTTAAAAGTTATGGTACTTTTTATTGTTTTAATATTTTTTCTCTGTAAGATGCCTGAAATTCTTTGTGAAAAGAGAGGTTTTAAATATATTTATTTTTATTCAACAGGAAAGACTGTTTAAAATTAATGAAGTATCTTTTAGAACAGCTGAAAAAAAAGTTTGAGAACCGAAAAGAACTGGACAAATTCTGTTCTTACCATGTGAAAACTGCGTTCTTTCACGTATGTACCCAGGACCCACATGACAGTCAGTGGCACTCAAAAGACCTGGTTCAGTGCTTTGATAATTATGTGACATATTTTCTACAGTGCCTCAGGACAGAGCAATTGAAGCATTATTTTATTCCCGGATACAATCTATTCTCTCCAAACCAAATTGGAAAAGTAAATAAAGAATTTCTGTCAAGACAAATTGAATATGAAAAAGATAATGGATTTCCACTTTTTCTTGAATTTTGAAAAAGAATCCAGAATTACAGTGACTTTATAATAATTAAATGTTTTAAGTTTTTCATAGCACTATAAGATGAATCATTCAACTCTTAATTTGTCTTAATAAAATAAAAATGGATTGATTGTCTTCATAAAGCATAAATGGGTTGATTAAAAGAGATTAGTTAAGGAATAAGTAGCAAAAAGTCTCATTGTCATGAGTCAGTTTTGACTATTGGAGGCCCCATGTGTTATAGAGTAGAATGCACCATAGGATTTTCTCAGGTTAATTTCTATTGCAGTAGGTCACCAGGCCTTGCTTTTGCAGATCCTCTGGGTGGGTTCAGATCACCATCCTTTACTTTTGCAGCTGACTGCAAACTGCTTACACCACTTAAGGACATTCAAGAAGCAAAAATAAATAAAACAAAATTCACTGCAATTCAGACAAAGGAGAATTGCTCCTTTGTATCAGAGACTGTTGGCTGTCAGTCTTTATGGGAGCAGACAGCCTCATCTTTCTCCCATAGTTCAGCTGGTGCGTTAGAACTGCTAGCCTTGCAGTTAGCAGCCCAACACTTACTGAACTGCACCACCAGGGCTCTTTGAAGAAGCAAAAAGAGCACTTAAAAATCCAAAGATTGCTTTTTATTTCGGCCTCCTCTGCACCATGGCACCTGTGAAACGTCTTGTGGTGATAGGGGGCTAAAAAAGCAGCAGGTCTGCAGTTCACCTTTGACTGTGCCCACCCTATAAAAGACAGAATCATAGATGCTGCCAATTTTGAACAGTTTCTTCATGAAAGAATCAAAGTCAATGGAAAAACTGGTAGATTCAGTGGAAGGGCTGTAGCCAGTGAAAGAAGAAAGAGCAAGACTACTGTAATGTCTTAGATGCCTTTTTCCTAAAGGTATTTGAAATATCTTACCAAAAATATTTTAAGAATAATAATCTACATAGTTGGTATGCGTAGTTGGTAAAAGCAAAGAAAATTATTAATTAGGTTACTTCCAGATTAACCAGGACAAAGAAGAGAAGATAAGGATTAAAACTCACTTACTGGGATATTTTATACAAGCCCTTGAATAAAACTTGGGAACCAAAAAATAAATAGAATCCTAAAATTTACAAGATTAGAATGAAAAAACAGGACAAAATATTTATTGGTTTAATTAAATTCATCAGCACTTACTGTACACCAGTACTGTACCCCAGTTCTTTATCTGGTACAGGTATGTGAAAGCTTGCAAAGGACTATATTAATGTTTATTACCTCCATAAAAAGGAGCTCTGATAGCGTAGTGGCTACAAATCAGGCTGTTAACCTCAAGGTCGGCAGTTCGAAACTACCAGCGGTTCCGCGGGGGAAAGATGGGGTATTCTGCTCCCGTAAAGATTTACAGCCTCAGAAACCTTGTGCAGGGTCACTATGAATTGGAACCGACTCCACGGTACTTAACAACAACAAACCTCCATAAAACATGTAGGTTTTGTTGAACTTACATTGTTGGAAGCAATGTCCTACCCTAGATACTAGGACAGATAAGAAAGAAATGAAAAAAAAAATCATATGTTGGCTTTGCTTTCAGAAAACATAATTTTTAAAGAAGATTTTGGATACTTTTTGTGGATAAATATAAAGCATTTCACTTATTTTCTTTATTTTTATTTTTTAGTAACACTTTTATATGTATTTCTGAAAAGATAATATAATTAACTCTTGAACACTGGGGTTAGGGATGCTGACCACCCACACTGGAGAAAAATCCGCTTAGAATTTTTTCCTTTTTTAAATTTTCTTTGCTGAATTTTATTAGAACCTACCCCCCCAAAAAAAACATAGCCCACAAATTTTAATGAATTATCAGCATGTTTAAAAGAAATCCAATGTTTCTGGTCCATCTATCCTGCATATTTCTCAGGTATGATTAATTATGGGGCCGCAATGTCATCTTTTTTTAAAAAAATGTTTTATTGTAAATTATGTCATAGTTTACATGGGAGAACGCTTAGAACTTTTGATTCTTCAAAAACTACTAATAGTTTACTGTTAGCCGTAAGTTTTGTTAATAGCATAAACAGTTGATTCACACGTATTTGTGTATGTATTCTATACTGCACCCACATAAAAGCTGCAATTTCAATATGAAATAATAAGGTATTTCGCAAAAAGTTCGAGGTTTTCACAACTGCTGGTGTAGCTGCAGTGACAGTTTCATTTTCTTTTTCTTACAATGATCCTTACACTGCATTCATTTATCTTAAAATGGTGGAAAGCTTCCAGCTACAGACTTCATTCGATGGTACATATCAAGCAATTCTACTTTCCCTTTAATGTCATGACTTTCCCCTGCTTCTTGATAGCATTTCTAGCATCACTAGTGGCACTTTGTATGATTTCCATGGTGTTATTCAGTAATTTCAGTACTGCACTAAGCATGATGAAAAATATGCAAGACCCATGAGAGATCCCTTTTTTAACTGAAATATGCAGTACACTGGAAAAATGAACTGTTTGCACAGATGATGTGTGTCATAATGATGTTTTTTTAAAAATATGCGTATAAGTGGGAACATGCACTTTAAACCTCAGTTGTTCCAAGGCCAACTGTACGTGTACAGGGTACAAAACTCAGAAGAAAGAGGGTATGGTATGAAATGTCCTCTCTCTTCTGTGATAAAACACCTTGTATCCTGGAGGCAACTTTTTCAGAAAATTGCCTGTTTAGGTCTTTTGCATGTTTTCTTGTTGGTTTTTACCTTTTATTCAGTGTCTTATGTTCTTTGTATATTTTGGATATTTCTCATTTGTTGACTGTGTAACAAATAACTTCTCCCACAATGTGGGTTTGGTCTGTCATAATCTCCCTCGATTGTCTTTTAATAAACAATGTTTAATGTATTGCAATTTATCACTCTTCTCCTTTATGGTTTGTGCTTTATGTATCTTGTTTAAAACCTAAGATGTTTGAACATATTAAGAGAAAATGAAGACATTTGAAGGCGAGTTTGGGGGGCAATTAGTGATGCATACATAGAAAACTAAGCAAGAAAACAAAAAAGCAATTTTTAACTTCAAGAAAGAAAGAAAAGGAGCCATCAAATCCCTTCAGGACAGACCCCCCTCCAAGACTGAAACTCAAAGGGAACACATGAGCAGCCATATAAGCTCACTGGCAACTATGTTGCTCTGCATTTGAGTGGAGGTCAGAAATGAAGACATAGGCTGAGTTGGACCAGGTTCCATAGACTCCTGTCGACCTTGAGATGAGAGAAGAGGAAGGGCTGGTTGGTCCAAAGTTTGGGAACACTTGGGAACTTCTGAGCCCCTGGACATTAACCTAGCCCTGGAGGGCTAGAGTAAGAGTGAAGCATACGTACAAGAATGTCCAAACGTGCAGATAGTATGCATTTGACCTAGCTTCTATGGCTTAATACCCAGAGTGTGACTAGAGGAAAATAAAGAAATTAGATAAAGGAAGCAAGTGTAAATTGCTACAATTTGATGAACTATGGATTTAGCAGCTGAAAATACCAACTGAGAAGGAAGGAGTCTTCACATCAAGGATCAAACTTACCCCTCGGTATATAGGGTTGATAGGGACGGGCAACTTAGACATTGACTACCTAAATGGGGGGGATGAGGAGCTATAAAGACACGAAGTGGCTGGCTTACAAGTTTTCAAGAGGGAGTTTAGTTTCAGATTTATGTGGGGGAAGGTAGAATCCCCACTGAATAGTTTTCAGCTTATCTAGATGGGTCTGGTGAAAGGAGATAGGGATAGAATTCTTTTGATTCAATAGTGAGTAATTGTTATCATAACTCATTGCGGTTGCTACAACTGTAAAGGTAGAAGTTTTGTAATATATAGGGAGGAGTAGTTAATCTTACATTCCAGGAACCGAGGATCCTTAGGATCATCAAGGGAGAAGAGCATGAACAGAATATGGGGCCCTAACCAGAGAAGCAGCGACACCAGAGATAGAGGCAGAGATGGTGTCTTGGAGAGATAGAGCAGGTGAGGACTCTAGACTCATGGAAAGAGAAAGGCTGTGTGCTGGTGGCTAGAAGGCAGACTCGCAGAATGTGTCCTTTGGTTGTTTATATGATTATATATTTCTGAGTGTTTTTGTGTACATAAAAACAAAACAGAATCGAAGCAAATACTGTTAAATCATGATGCATGGAGGGGATTGGAATCATTGCAATGAAAATATGATAGGATGAGTCAAAACCAGTGTTCTCCCATGTAAACTCACTAAATTCACAAAGCTTTAAGAAAAAAAGAAAGCTCAGTTGATTAATTTTTTGCATCACATCTGTGAGGACGTAATTTAAGTCCCTACAAAAAGAAAACACTAAATTTTGTATGGAAAGATAAGAAATACAAAGATTAGAAAAGAAAGAAAAATAATCAGCATGATTTGAAAATACTACTCAGCTGTAAATAAAGTTTATGAAGTCATGGTAAAGTACCAAAAACCAAACCCACTGCCGCCGAGTTGATTCTGACTTATAGCAACCCTATGCAGGGTTTCCTTCATTTCAGGGACAGAAAACCTCTTTCTCTTGGGGAGTGGCTGGTGGATTTGAACTGCTAATCTTGTGGTTAGCGGCCCAATGTATAACTTAATCTTATCAAAGTCATGATTAATTCTGTGGCAAGGATAAGTGCCTATGCATTATAATAGTATAGACAGTGAAGAATACATGTTTCCTATTGCTGCAGAACACATTACCACAAATTTAAGGACTTCAAATACCATATATTTCTTAACTCAGTTTCTATGATATAGGAGACTGTGCTACTTTGCTCAGGAATTCACATAGCTTCAATCAAGGTGTTAGCTGGAATCCCATTTGAGGCAAGACTGGAAATGGGTCTGATTTTGTTGGTAGAATTTAGTTCTTTACAGTTGTAGTTTCTGGCTGCCTGTCAGCAGAGGCTGCATAGAGCTACCAGAAGGTGCTCTTAGATCTCTAACACATTGTCCTCCCAACACAGGGCACAATATGGTAGCAAGCT